AGACGTCTAGGTCATGTAAAAATATGATGTGCTGATTGCAACGATAATTTTAAAAGTCGTTTATTCAATCCTGACCTATTTGGGGAATTAATTGGTACTAAAATTCAAAATGCAATCAGTCGAGCAACAGAAATACTTCAGCAGGAAATGGCGTGCTTGAAGCAGGAAGTGGAAACTCTAAAATTAAGTAATATAGATCTTGTTAAGTTGATGTCTAACAGTGTTGATATTTCTAATCCTCGTTCTTCAACCGTTACTAATACTAAGCTTTCCTATGCTGATATGTCCCGAACCAAGGACAACGCTAAAGTCATTATTAAGCCCAAAAATTCTAAGCAGTCTGTTAACAAAACTAAAGGCGATATTATTAATAGTGTGGATCCTGTAAATGCTGATGTTAAGGTAAAATCGGTTAAATCAATTTCATCTGGTGGTGTCATTCTTACTTGTTGTACAAAAGAGGCCGAGAAGTTAAAAAGCCTTGCTTGCGATAAATTATCTGATAATTATGAAATCAGGAAACTTACTAATATTAAACCGCAAATTAGAATTGTCGGTATACCAGCTTACGTGGATCAGACTGCTGCGATTCACAGTCTGCTTAGGCAAAATGACACTATATTTAAGGGTAATGCTTCCGATTACAAATGTTTAAAGTTTTGGGGAACCAAATATAATAAGGATATACTTCAATTTATTATAGAGGTTGATTTGGATACTTATCGTGAACTGAAGTCTATTGATGGTTTACTTATTGGTTTAAATTTTTGCTCGGTTTATGATGACGTTAATGTTAGACGTTGTTTTAAGTGTAATGCTTTTAACCATGTTAAAAAATATTGCAAAAATAAAGCTACATGCTCATTTTGTGCGGGACCACATGAAATACAAGACTGTACATTGGATAAAAGCAACAAAGATTTGAAGAAGTGTATTAATTGCTGTAAACTTAAAGAGAAAGAAACATCTTCTGATAACAATAGCAATATTATTAATTGTTCTCATGCTACTTGGGAATATAATGTCTGTTCCGCTTTTCAGGGGGTTATCAGTAAGATCAACAAAGAAGTTTTTGGTATTGATTGTGTAAAAGGTGATTTTTTAGGCCAACATTAAGTAAATGTCACAACTATATTAGCTTGACTAGGGCTGGGATCGCTTTTGATCCTAATGACAAAAAACTTTCATACTGCTTATATTCTGGTACTTCTCTAAATGATCCAGAAATGTTTCGCACTGTTACGGCTAGTGTAAGTGAGTCAAATTCGACTTCTACTTTATCTCCTGTTAGACTCTCCAAGACTATCCAAAGCTTTTCCATTTACTATCAGAACGCACGTAGCATTAGATCACGCATTAATGACATTTACTGCCTCTTAACGTCTTCCGAATTTGATGTAATTTGTATTACTGAATCGTGGCTAGACCCATCAATTGCTAACAGTGAATTCATTCCACCTAATTATGTTACGTTTCGCTCAGACAGAAATTTCATTAGATCTGGTCGTCAAAGAGGTGGTGTAGTTCTTGCTGTCAATGCCCAATTCAGCGTAAAGGGTCTTGATATGTCGTTATTCAAGGATTTCTTTCTATGTGACGTTGTGGGTTGTAAAGTTAACTTATCGACAATACAGTTTGCACATGTTTGTAGTTTACATTCCCCCAGATCTTTCGGTAAATGATTTTGTGTCTTTTATTGAATGCTTTGAAAGTTACACTATTGAGCTTTCTAATATATTTTTAGTGGGTGATTTCAATGCACCATGCTTTTTAAGTAGCACTGCGGACACAAAATCAAGTTCAGTTCAGACAATGGCCTCACTTTTAAACTTAAGACAATTTGATACTATTCTAAATTCCGATGGTCGCCTCTTGGATTTAGTCTTCGGTACTTCAAATTGTTGCTATGTTACCCGTGACTTGGATCCTTTAATTAAGGAAGATTTGCACCATCCAGCTTTAAATATCGACCTTCAATTAAAAAACTCTTCTTGTACAAGCTTTCCGATGTGTAATTCGACGAAATTATACAATTTTAAAAAAGCAAATTTTCCTCTATTGTACAACGATATTCTCAACATTGACTGGAGTTATTTATATAGTATCTCGGACGTAAACCTAGCATGTGAGCATTTTTACAACATGTTATACTCTTTATTTGATAAGCATGTGCCGCTATTTAAGTGTAAAAGGTTTCGCTACCCTAACTGGTACACTGCTTAAGCTAAAAGGGAAACTATTTAGGTCTTATAAACAGCGGTCTTCTGTGGAAGCGTATAATAATTTTGCCCGCATACGATGTGCAGTCAAACATCTGATTCGTCGAGATTTTAATGATTACGTTATTAAGGCGCAAAACTCACTTCTGAATGATCCGAAATATTTCTGGACATTTATCAAAGAAAAACGCGGCCGATCGTCTATTCCAAATTCGGTTCATTTGGATAACATTCACTGTGACCGTCCATTGGATATTGTTAACATGTTTGCTCGGCATTTTTGTTCGGCTTTTAATTCGCCTAAAGTAAATCAATTTCAGGCTAGTACCTATTTAGGTGATATTAGCAGCAACTTATCGATTCATGTCCACATTTCTGAGGATCTTGTGTTTAACGCTATCAAGAAACTTAAAAACAATAGTACTTCTGGTGCTGACCAGGTCCCATCTTTTCTTCTGAAAGATTGTTCAGCTGTCTTTCTTAAGCCGTTGTCCTACTTATTTAAACTATGCCTTAATGACTCCTGTTTTCCTTATTTGTGGAAGATTGCTAAAATTGTGCCGGTGTATAAATCGGGTGATGTTTCTGATGTACACAGCTATCGTCCCATCTCAATTTTATCCAATTTTTCTAAAGTATTTGAAAGTATTTTGTATCACCAGATTTATTTCAATGTTAAGGAGGTTATTTCTATACATCAGCATGGTTTTACATCAGGCAGATCAACTCATACCAGTTTAACGTGTATGTCACAAATAATCGCAGGTACATTAGATCATAGGAGTCAGCTTGACGTTATTTACACGGATCTGTCCAAAGCGTTTGATAAATTGGACCACCAAATTTTGCTCCGTAAGTTGTCTGCTATTGGTTTATCTGACCTTTTGATAAGATTCTTTGGTTCTTATTTAAATTCTAGGACAAATTTCGTTTTATACAATGGTTATAAATCTGCCCCTTACACTTCAGTCTCTGGTGTTCCACAAGGATCCATACTTGGACCCTTGTTTTTCATAATCTACTTGAACGACGTTGTTAATACCATCGTAAACTCTGAAATTCTTATATACGCGGATGATATCAAAATCTTTCGAAAAATTACCAATATGGAGGATTGTTTACTGCTTCAAGGTGACTTAAATAAGCTAAAAGAATGGTGCTTCCAAAACTTTTTGCCGTTAAATACAGATAAATGTCAGGTTGTCTCCTTCACGCTATCTCATAATTTTCCACAATTCGATTATGATATTGATAATCATGTTCTGAAGCGATGCACGTCTGTAAAGGATCTTGGTGTGCTCTACGATTCGAAATTTACCTTTAAAGAACATGTTGTTAATAGTGTAGATAAAGCTGGTAAGATGTACGGGTTTATTGTTAGAAACTGTAAGTGTTTTAATAATGTTTTGCCGTTAATTACACTCTTTAATTCAATGGTGAGATCTAGATTAGAATACTGTCCACTTGCTTGGTTCCCCTACTACAATTATCAGATATTAATGCTTGAGACTGTACAACGTAAGTTTTTGAAGTATTTGTATTTCAAGGATGAAGGTGCATGGCCAGCCAGAAATTACCCACAAGAAGTTTTATTAGAGAAATACAACTTTAATTCGCTTCAATGTAGACGAGTAATTAATGCACTCACATTTTTGCATAAGATTTTAAGTTACAAAATTGACTGCGGGGAGCTAATATCTGGTCTGAAATTCTTTGTGCCACGTTTAAATAGTCGGTTTTCCACTACGTTTTACTTGAGTACACCACGGACAAATGTTGGCAGAAGAGCTCCACTACATATTATCTGCTCGTTTATTAATAAATTGGAAAGAAGTAGCCACTGTGACATTTTCAGCTGCACAATTAAGGAACTAAAAACAACGATCTGCATTAGTTTAAATTTATAGATGTTTTATAACCGTTATAGCATTATATGTTTGTTTAGCTGTAGTATGTCTTGTAATGTAGTATGTCTTGTGTTTGGATTGATGGATTAGCATTATTACGATTAGTCATAGTTTTTGTATTTTGTCCTGTAATTGGAACTGATCGTTCTGTTGGGCAAATAAATAAATATTTATTTATTTATTATTATTTATTAAAGCTATGGTTGGGCTGCCCTCAACTGGGTAAGCGTATCGTTTTTACCTGGTTTCTCAGAGTTTCTGAGCGACTCCCACAATACGAACGCATTTCGAAGTGCGACAGTAATCTCAGATAAGTCTGTTTTACGTGTATTTTTTTCGTAATAACTGAATTCATTGCAATAACAGACCTCTGAAATTTGAAATGACAACATAGGATTAAGAATGGTATAAAATTAAAATCAGAATTCTCGTGAGAGTTGCTCTCCAGTGGACACGTACCTTTAGTAATGGAACTTTCAGTAGTTTTACATTTGTAACAGAGACAATGACAGCCAGCTATGAGTGACAGCGTAGAAATTTCAGTGTATTTTATAGTGTTAGGTTGCTGCCAACTTACATGTCAACTGTCAAGAAATCCCAATCTCTCACCGGAGTCACTGGAACCACTATACCTGGCAGACATTTTTGCAATACTCAATGAAATTAATATATCCCTTCAAAAACTCACAGTACATACAGGGTTTTCATAAATGATTATAGGGTCGCAGTAGGTTATGGATGTGTGCCGCCTTTCGCTTTATGTGTACTTTACTAAATGTGTCCTTGGGCACGACAAGCACCACATGCATCTGTATAACTGGTTGCCTAAATGCTTCATGATGAAATATCGAAAACGCATGCGTCAATACACATGTGACTAACATAACAAGGCGATACTGGCGATAACAAGTGAAATTTTTGGTTGGCTGTTGATATACACACGCACAAATTCCAATAACTAAATCATCCACGGAAAAAGAAGTTCCACGTTTAGGAGTATATTTGTAATGAAGTGCAGGAGGCGAAGCGCCCGTGTGTCCTTTCAAAAAGTTAGCACGCGTTGGTGACCATAAAAAGTTAGGTTATGTTAGCAACGGCTGCAATGCTGCAATTAAAGAATGCACGAATGCGAAATTTAACAAATTTTTGTGGCAAAAGGAAGCATTTGCATAACATTTGAAGATGAGGAATGTGATCAAAAGATGCTGTAGAAGAGCTTTGCACAAACAGTTTGTGCGAAATCGAGAAGCGCGTGTTCTGCGCGATGTTACGGAGTTAGATAAGCGCAAATGTAGTTCATTTTCAAACTGTTTTTCAGAAGTTGAAGGCGCATTGATGACCAGTGGGACCAAGGGCCTTTGGTGGTTAAATATGCCTTTATATACATGGACACCAGATGCATGTGCTTAGAAAGATGATTTTTGATTAAGAACTCAGAGCAACAGTATCTTTAATGGTGTATACAAATTTGACAAACAACGCATTTTAATGTCTGATAACTACATTTCCTATCCATCAGTTCTACTTCATGAAAGTTAGTTTTGGTTTGTGAGTGCATTAAATGTTTTATAGCAGATTCTTTAGCTACATTATCACAACTTATCTGGGTGGCAAGTTTATGGGACTTACTGACCAAAAGGTCATGGTGAATAGCTGTAAGTCATAAAGTAGATGAAATTCTTGACCAAGATGTATCCTTCAGTAGTTTCTTCAAAGTGTCTAAATATGTTTCCAGCCCTCTATTGGTTTACCACCAAAATATTTGTATTTCAAAGATCTGTGCAAAGATTTGGCGTGCATGTTGGTGTTAATGCCTGCGTTCTTTTGATTACACTGGGCCTATGACTTCATGCGCTCTTTATTTTGAAAGTAGTAAGTGTTTAAATAATTCACAAATTTACTTTTTACCAAAAATTTAATCAGCTCTTGCTTCAGTCTTATAAATTTATTTTCATCTGTTTCTTTTAATACATAATCTAATTTTGTAAGAATCTGATTTATTGTTCCAGGCATTCCAATATGTAGCTGTAACTATCATCTGTCATGAAATAATTGGGTACCAAAACCGATATTAATGATTTTATTTCACCAACCAGAACCTCTTATATGTTGGTGTCCTTTCAGTTGGACAGAATAAATGTTACTGGATAATCAATATTTTTATCATCTAACACATGGACTTGTGGTCAATTCAATGTCATAGAGGTTTGTCCCATGTGTGCCATCTACACAAATGATTTTGGCGCCATATTTTTTTAACATATACTCCAGCCCACTGTACATGGAAGCTAATGCAGTCATTTTTGTGCAATTTTTCATGTTCTGATGCACAACAAGATTTTCCTTACTTCATTTACCAGATATATTATTTTTTCTGCAATGTGGGGAATGTCTTTCATAGTCAGAAGATTAAATCTGGTACATGAACTGAGTTCTAGATTTTTAACAGTTTCAATTATTTTTTCGTGTGTTAGACCAGTGCGAATTTGTTCAACTAGATATGTCGTTTCTTTTGTAGTCAGGGGTTGACAGCGAAGATCATTGTGATGAACAATATGAATAGCAATAAACTGAACAAGTACCACTGAGGAAGAATGATCAAAGTGAGCTGTAATTCGTGAAGGACAGACTCCTTGCATTTTGATACTGCCACTAGTTTTAGGAGCTCGTATATTACATTTACTAACAGAATTTGCTAGATTACTTCTGACATTCATAGTAGAAAATAATAATTCGTCATATAAAAGAATTAGTTTTTAACTCTAAATCTGCTTTTCGTGTAAAAAAAATCTTCCGTTTTCTTAAATTGTAGATCCTTTACTTCCAACTCAATGTTATAAACGATGTTGAAATGATTCGTTAATAAGTGAAAACGCTGAAAGTTTTCAAAGCATAGCGGACAAATTATTCTGCTAGTTTTTAGTATTTTTGAAATTGTCGCCGTGAAAATATCTTGGATGTCGATTTGTACTTGAAATTATTTCACACAATAAGCACATTTTGTTAACACTTCAAACTTTTGGATGCTCATACTGAAATATGTTTTGTCATGTCTAGTGCTTGTTTTTACTTAATAAAATAATAGAACTTTATCTGTCCATTGTCCTTTTCATAAAAATTACACGAAATTCTTTAATTAGCCACAAAACAATAGTATATTACAAAATTAATATTTCAATTCCCGCCACAAAAGTACATATTCAACGAAAATGTATAAACGTAAAAGATAAAAATCCAAATATGACTTTGACTGCTGGGTAGCTTCTAAACCCTCATCGTAGAGTCATATAAAATCAAGGACCACCAGATGGGTGAACGGACACGGATAATAATCAGAGTTTTTACGGTTTGAGATTTCATTCAGTTCTATCAAAAATTTTATTGTACATAATAAATAGGTATTTAGAACGTAGTGTGATTTCATTTTAAGTATCAAGCTTCAAAATATACTTTCGTTGCTAATTTTAAAGACTAGTTTTTGATTTTTGTTTTTTTTTTGTGTGTACAGATTCGTTTCAATGCAAAATTAGGTCACCCACATAGAATTTGAACATTTGAAATTACGCGGGCGTAATTTGTTACCCTCATGCGCGGAACTCCAACATTCTTGATAGTCAATTTGTTGTTAAAAATAAAAATAATTCATAATGGAATAAACAAACAAATTTATTGTGGTTAAACATCACAGTAAATGTTGAAAATGTTCACCATTTAGTTCAAGGCACATATTCACTCTCTTTTTCTTACTTTCAAAAATGTTCTGTAACATCCTTCCATCAATGCTTTGAACCCATCGTTCAATTTCATGTTGCAACTCTGCCAAGTTATTCATTTGCCGTTGAAACACTTTGTCTTTCAAATATCCAAATATTGAAAAGTCCAATGGCGTAAGATCTGGGGAACGTGGTGGAAATGCATGCTGCACTCCTAAACTTATTACACGATCGTCATAATGTTGTTGTAAATATTCCAATGTAGCACGTGCAGTGTGTGCAGTCGCGCCGTCCTGTTGAAAGTACCCTAACTGCAGCTCTTCGTCGTCAAGTTGTTGAATAAATGGTTCCAAAATCTGTTGCCTATACCTCTCTCCAGTCATAGTATCATGAAAGAAAATAGGTCCATATATTCGTCTACGAGAAACTGCCAACCATACTCCAATTTTTAAAGGATGAAGAGGCGTCTCTACAAAAACATGTGGATTTTCCGCGGACCAAATTCTAAAATTTTGCGAATTGACATAGCCAGATAAATGAAACCATGCTTCATCACTAAAAAATGTAAGGTCCAGTAACCCGTCATCATGAAAAGTATTCTGAAACCAATTGCAATATTCTACGCGGCGTGGAGGATCTATTGGTAAAAGTTGTTGCACAGTAGTTATTTTGTAAGGATGCATATGCAATCGTTTTTTCACTACTTTGTGACATGTGGTTACGGGAACTCCTGACTGTTGAGATAATCTTGTCAAAGATGTTTGGGGATTCTGCTCGAGTCTTTCTCTCAAATCATCAACAACTTCCTCAGATACTGCAGGTCTCCCAGAAGATTTCCCTTTGTTGACATTGCCAGTGCGAACAAATCTGTTGATGACATCTCTAATGTGAGCCTCTAATGATGTTTCTTGAATTTCCAAATCAGGGTAATTGGCCAGATATTCTTGCTTACAAGCGGCTACAGAATACAGCCACGCTCCGTCTACGAATGTCCCATTGCGATAATAAGACATAACGATGAAAGTGTTTTGCTCAACCGAATAAACCATTTTCACGGTCTTCGCTTCGAGCACAAAGTTTTCGCACGCAAGCACCAAGAGCCTTGAGAAAGGCTATTTTGTTGTTTTAAACTTGAATCAACGAGAATTACTGTAAATCACACTTGGAAAGTGGTAGAACAATAAAAGCGATGATTTTAAGTGACAGGTTACAAATGACAAGTGAGAACTGTCAAATGAGACAATTTCAGCAAAGCGGCATTTTTGAAATCCATGGCCAACTACGCCCTTAGAATCATTTATGAAAGCCCTGTATTATCAAGGTTTCGGACAAAATTAATGAGTTACTATTAAAATTAGATATACAGGCCGTGTGGCGACACCGTCGTGTCTTTTGCTATTTTACTCATTTTAAATATTTAGTGTCCGAGTTTTGTACCGACGGCCGTCACAAAAGAATACCTCTTGGGCCCTGACCCGTGAGGGCCGATTCGGAAAGTGCGAAAGACAAATGAGATACAATTTCACTCTATAGGCTATCTATTATAATTTTGTAACACAGTTTGACGAGCTAACAGTTTATCGAAGTGTTACATACTTAAAGCAGAGTAAAGAAGGGTAATTAAGATTATTGTAATAGAAACATAAACTATGCACCTTAAACTAAAATATGTTGATAACAGGGCGGTGAACCCCGACATCTGGTTAAGATTACGGAATAATTGCATATCAAAACTATAAGCGATGAAATCTTATCTAAAGGTATATTTTACGTATGCGTAATTAAAGAACATTAAGTTGTGCTCTCGTTTACTCCAGGCCACAGACTACCTCCAGGTGCTCATACTGCTCATAGTGTATGGGAGAGCCTGAGGGTGGTATACGTGCTTTTATGAGGAAGAACTGTCCATTCGTTAAATTGAGGGCGGTGATAAGGTAAGGTAGACACTAGACAGTTGGGCTGAAACGCAGTTCAAGATCAAGCCGGAAAAAGCTGATCCTATACGGTGGATCATTTACTTGTCGTACGAGATTCATAACAACGGCGTTTGAAGCCACTTACGAATTACCGGTAAGAGCCGATTAAGGCGACCTTCGCAAGGGCAGAACCGTATAATTAGGTCAGTGGGACTTACATGCCAGCGACTCAGCAGTCCAGTGGAAGATCGGAGCCACTATCACTCGCTGAAGAAGGTCGGTTTGATGCACTAGACACGAGCCCGGCGACCGGAAGTTGGGTACCGCGATCACACTAGGAAGTAGTCGAACCGCCAGCAAAACGGAATCGGAATAGACTAGAATAATTATAATAATTAAATAAAAATAGGTTGTTTTTATAGGGGTTTTCAAGTGTGAGAACAGTAAGGAAGATGTAACAAAAAAAATCCATTTCTCGCAATTTTGTCGCCGGAAACGGCGGCAAGTGTTTATAAAAATGCATCTCCCATAACCGGTCCGACCACCCAGTGGCGGCTCGTGACCTTTTGCAATGGGGGTACACAATTTGATATACGACGATATAAAACAGGTTGTTATTTCCAATTAATAGACGAAATTGTGTGACGGAAATAAATACAAAAATACATTCAATAAAAGTAAAAAAGGATTTGGCCATATACCTTTTTGCCTTCGATCAAAATTTTACGTTGATGGCATCGAACAGTTCATTTTGGACACTTTTAGACGTTCCGTTAAAAACCGTTGCTTCTTAGAAATGATCTGATAAAGCAGAGTCCAATTTAGCCGTAAAATCAATCAAACCTCGAAAAATAACTGGATTTTGTGATTCCCTATCAGGGGCGGCTTGTCCTATGAGGCAGGTGAGGCAGTGCCTCACCAATGAATTTTACGCCTTATTAGGATTTTTATTATTTTATACGGACACATTTCGGCCAATAATTTGTGTCTTTTTTCTAAAATTTTAAAAATAAATATAGAAAATTATATTCTTATTTTTATCTCGGTAGGTACTCGTTGCTCCCTTAATTAAAGAGCGCGCTTAAACACTCGGCACAACATGTATTTTGTGACGCGAATGAGGCAGACTCGAAGCTTGCCTCTACAGCATATATAGAAATCATGTCGTTAATAGGCAAGCAACCTGCAATACACTCATAAGCGGTATGAGTTGAAAAAAGACAAAATTGAGGCTAGCCTCATTTCTGTGCTTGCAAAAGAGATGGACAACTATAATATTTGCGCGCGGGGAACGTGCGATTACAATGCAGTCAGGCAAAACAATCAAGTGGATCGAAATAAAAAAATTAGTTTTGATACTTACGATACAAATTTCCGGATAATTTTTTAAATATTGAAAATTACTATTTTGAAGATTGTATTAATTGACATTACTCAAAAGTTTGGCCTTGTGATTCCCATGATAATGAAAGGTTGGCTCGTTATGGAAAAATACTATATGCCACATACAGTATGGCTATTTTAAGGGTTGAATTTCCGGCTCAGCACAGCTGGTCCACAAGAGCCTGAATAAATTTGAAACGCAACCCAAAATACGTTTTCACCACCATGCATGGACATGGTATGATCACAGTATATGTATATTGCGCATTTTGTGTGACGTCATGTGGCTGTCATGGCCGCCAATTTTAAATTATGGTTTTTTGCATGTTCGTCAACGGGCGATGCCAGATTTTGAACACATGTTATTAGCTTAGATCATATAATAAATAGATACCAACACGCCGTGTTCTTTCCCTAGGAGAGCCTGTGACGACATCCTCCTGTCACACGTCTCTCTTGTGCATGGAGGGATTACAATGAAGCTATCCTTGCCTGATCACTATTTGAATTTTGCGCGCCTAAATTTTAGGAAG